AGACAGTTGGGAAAATTTGAACAGAGATTTGATAGTTAATGGTATTAAGAAATCATTATTTTAGAGCCAATAGTGGTATTGTGGTTATGTTAAAAATAAGAATTCATATCTTGCAGAGACAAACTATATACTAGAATTCTTTTTATTTTTACACACAGGGTTTCACTCTGTCACCCAGGATGCAATACAGTGGCACGATCATGGCTCACTGCAGTCTTGAACTCCTGGGCTAAAGCAATCCTCCCACCTCAGCCTCCCAACTATATGTGATTACAGGTGTGAGCCACTGAGGTCAGCAAATTTGACATGACTTGGGCATAAAAAAAGAATGAGACTTATTTTTATTCAAAATGTTAAAAAATTGCAAAGTCCATAGTGCTAGGAGGGAGGAAGGATTAGATGAATACTCCATTTTTGCATCTTTGATTCAGACAAAGATCATTAATTGGTGCCAGACCAATCAAGTGAAAAGTCTGGGAAGAGGGTCTTTATACAGAGGCAGAGTGTCACCCCTTAGTTAATCTTCAGAAAAGGTAAAAGATACCTTCCCAGTGGAGCAGTCTGGCAGGCACCACCTTAACTACAAGTTCAAATTTAGCCTCACTGCTGAGTCAGCTGAGTCACTCTGAGATTTTGTGCCACATGATGTGAGGCAAGATTAAGTATACACGGCATGGCCTATGAAATCTTCTGGCTAAAAATGTTGAATTTAAATCCAGTCATGCTTCTAGGCCTACTGTAATTTCCAGTTTACAGAAGATGCAGCAGCTAGAGGAACAAGTAAATAATACAGAGGAAATAATTAGATAGTTCCAGAATAAGGGACATTCTACAGTCACTATCCTGGATTCTTTAAAAAGTCAATTTCACTTAAATATAAAGTGGAAAGGCAAAGACTACATAGTATATGATTAAATTTAAATGAAATGTTCAGAAATGGCAAATCTATAGAGACAGAAGGCAGATTCAAAGCTGGGCATGGTGGCTCACACCTGTAATCCTAGCACTCTGGGAAGCTGAGGTAAGAGGATTGCTTGAGTTAAGGAGTTCGAGACCAGCCTGAGCAAGAGCAAGATCCAGTCTCTTACAAAAAATAGAAAAATTAGCCAGGCCTGTTGGTGCATACCTGTAGTCCCCTACTACTTGGAAGGCTGAGGCAGGAGGAACACTTGAGCCCAAGAGTTTGAGGTTGCAATGAGCTACGATGACACCACTGCACTCTAGCCTAGGAGACAGAGCAAGACTATCTCCAAAAAAAGGCAGATTCATAGTTGCCAGGGGGCTGGACTAGACGCAACATTAACCAGATATGTGCACAAGGCAGGGATCATACTAAATAAGGAGTATGGTGATAGTTGTACAATTTAGTAAATTTACTAAAAATTATTTCATTGTACTCTTTTTTTCTTTTTTGAGACAGTCTCACTTTGTTGCCCAGGCTAGAGTGAGTGCCATGGCGTCAGCCTAGCTCATGGCAACCTCAAACTCCTAGGCTCAAACAATCCTGCTGCCTCAGCCTCCCGAGTAGCTGGGACTACAGGCATGTGCCACCATGCCCGGCTGATTTTTTCTATATATATTAGTTGGCCAATTAATTTCTTTCTATTTATAGTAGAGACAAGGTCTTGCCCTTGTTCAGGCTGGTTTCAAACTCCTGACCTTGAGCAATCCGTCCGCCTCGGCCTCCCAGATAATTGTACTCTTAAAAGGGTGAATTTTATGATATATATATTATAACCTCAATAAAAATTTTTAAATCTAATAAACAGAAATTACAAAATGTAAAATAGGTGGGACTGCTCTAAATTAAAAGAAATTAACGACACGTAACAGGCAAATGTGCCTAAATTGGATCCTGAGGGTGGTGGGGAAAGAAGGAACAGTTATAAAAGATCTTCTAATTACATGTAAATTATATCTTAATAAAGCTGATTTTAAAAACACATTCTAGGAACAATCGGAGAAATCTGAATATGAGCCGGGTACTATATAGAGTTTGCAGATTCTCTGAGGTGGATAAGGGCATTGGGTGGGCCCTGCCTTCTAGAACTCACCACTGGCTGACTTCCCCAGAAATGGCTCTTGTGCTGTCAAGGACCCTGAGGCCACACTGTAACCCCAGTTCTGTTCATCTTGCCTTCTCTTGGGGACCTGCACCACAGAGCAGCAATTTTATTCTTTCTTTGCACAATCAGGTTTGTGCTTTTCTTTTTCAAAACTTGTCATGCTTTTAAGGACACACATAGATGCTAGAGATTGATGAACACAAAAATCAGAATCATGGTTACCTCTGGTGAGGGAAGAAAGCATATGCAACTGGGGAGGACTCACAAAGGGCAGTTCCAGGGCACTAGCGATACTAGATACACTGGGGTTCATTTTGTTTCTGGTCTTTGAGCTACATGTGTTTTACAGACTTGTGGTGAGCCCGCTTCCAGGTATACTATACACACATCGTTTTAATCCTCCCTCCCCCCTTGAGCATGAGGGGACCTAGTGACTTGCTTCTACTAGAATACAGCAAAAACGATGGGTTGTCATTTCTGACTCCCATCTTGCTGGACTCTAATTTTAGTCTTCCAGTTTGCATACTTCCATGAAGCAAGTTGCCATGTTGACAAGGTCTTTGTGACAAGAGTGACCTCCCGTCAACAGCCCACAAGGAACTGAATCCTGCCAACGCCCACGAGAGTGAGCTAGGATGAAGCCCCCTTTTCCCCAGGAGCCTTGAGACAACTGTGGAAACCCTAACTACAGCCTGCGGGAGAACTTTGAGCAGAGGACTCAGTTGAAACATACCTCGATTTCTGAACCACAGACACCGAGATGTTGCTTAAAGTCACTGTTTTAGGGTAATGTTGCACAGCAATAGAAAGCCAATACAATATATTCTGTGTTCATTCACAATAAAAACTTTGAAGTTTGTAAACACTAGAAAAATATAAAAATGGGGCTCAGCAGGAAGTCTATATTTAAATTTCACAGTTCACTGATTATTTCTTGCCAGCCTTTTCTGGACTAAGCACTGGCCTAGGCACTGTAATCCAGTGGTGAGCACACTAGACAAAATCCCTGTTGGCAATTTACACACTAACAGAATTATTCCTACACACACCATGTGCTAACTACTCTTAAGTAATTCCTATTTGATCCTTATTAACTCTACAAAGCAGAGTATCTTATTTACTGTATAAGGTGTGGTTATATATGCATATGGAAAACTCAGTTCTCGAAATAGGCTTGGCAAACTCCCACTCTCAGCTTGAAATTGTTTCCTATGGATAGCCATGAGTCTCCAACCACTGGAGAACTGATGGGTTCAGGTGGTTAACTTAGCTTTTGTTCCGGCACTTCTTCCTTAGGCAAGCCATTTGGGACCTTTCTGACCACGTCAAATCTTACTACGCATGCTGATGACACCACATTATTAACATGGTACTGATCTGCCTTAGCCTCAAAGTCTAAGAGAGGAACCTGTCTACTTTATCTCATGTTCATTTTCCCAGTGCCCAGCATGGTGCCTGACAACCAGTATCATTAATACTTGGGCCAGGCCAAGGACTCACACCTGTAATCCTAGCACTCCGGGAGGTTCACTTGAGGTTGAGTTTGAGTCCAGCCTGAGCAAGAGCAAGACCCCATCTCTACAAAAAAAAAGGAAAAATTAGCCAAGCATAGTGGCGCCCACCTATACTCCCAGCTACTCAGTAGGTTGAGGCGGGAGGATCCCTTGAGTTTGAGGTTATAGTGAGCAACACCACTGCACTCTAGCCCAGGTGACAGAGACCATGTCAAAAAAAAAGACAAGACATTGGATAGGCTGGGTATGGTGGCTCACACTTGTAAGTCCAGCACTTTGGGAGGCAGAGGCAGGACTGCGTGAGGCCAAGAGTTTGAGACCAGCCCAAGCAACAGTACAAGGCATCTCTACAAAAAGCACAAAAATTAGCCAGGCATGGCAGCACATGGCCCATAGTCCCACTGCACTCTACCCAGGGCAACACAGACCCTGTCCCCACACACCAAAAAAAAAAAAAAAAACACTGGAAAAAAAACCCCAAAACCCACTGGAATACAGAAGTGGCTGAGTTCACGAGACTATGCCAAGCATCAGTAATCAGTGCAGAACCAGCCAGGCAACAAGATGCAGAGAACCCCATGTGCCCAAATTTCACACCTTTAGAACTAAAAAATGTTGGGTCAACTAAAAACCCTGTATGTAACTAGGTCAGCTAAGATGGGCAGTTGAGTGTGCAAGTGGGGGGGTATTCTTAGCTTTTATTTCTACGTTGTTCTGATAGGTTCCCTTCAGCCTATACATGAATTCCCAACACAGTACACTTAACTTTCTACAAAACCAAGTTTTTAAAAGGGCCTTGTCTTGACCGTATTTATAGCTCAGACTGGCCACGTTTGCCTTATGGAAGGGTCTATGAGACCCTAAATGACCATGAGGTCTCCATAATCAAAGCCACCTATTCCAAAGGTAAATGGAAACTAGTAACCTGGCCTTTTAGTCCCACTGCCTTTCTTAGGTTAGAAGCTATACAAATGACCTACATTCTCAAGCTGAAATAGCTCCAGATGTCCCAGGAACATAGCCCAAAGACCCTTCCCCCCAAAGACCCTAAAGCCCGACACACATTTTCTTCAAAAAATGCCAGCATAGTGTTAGATTTTGTTATTTGAACCATGACCGATTTTTCAATTATCATCTCAACAGACACCTCTAAATGCACAAAATGGAAGAAACTACTCACAGCTGTTACAGGAGCACTGGTCCAACCTCTAAATCCTGGCTCCTAGTTTTTCCTACCCATGTTTTTACTATTCCACTCAAAGCCTACCTTGGGATACTGAAACTTCTTGGGTCGAGGAAGTCAAAACAAAAGAGTATGTGAAATTAAGCAGATACATCAAGTATTGTCTTAGAACTAAATAATCTGTTGCTGCTTAAATTAGACCTATCCTATGTCAATACCCTAACCCAAACAAGGACAGACAATTGTTATTTAGTTTTTATTTCATAATCATAAACTTAACTCTGCAATCCAGCTACATGTGAAGGGATAAGGAAAATATGGGAACCCAAAGAAACTGCAGCGAGAGCACAAAGATTATAGGATATTGCGAGCAAATGGGGTAGAGGGGTGCTCTCCTGAGCTACAGAAGGAATGGTATGATGGTTAAGATAAAACATTTAAGTCAAATTTATTAGACTTGTCCACAGTCAGCAATGGTGATCTTCTTGGTGGTCTTGCCATTCCTGGACCCAAAGCGCTCCATGGCTTCCACAATATTCATGCCCTCTTTCACCTTGCCAAAGACCACATGCTTGCCATCCAACCTGAAAACAGAACAATCACTACTACCAGTAACCGGAGATGAACAACCAGCCTGCACTGTGTATCAGGATGAGAACAGCGTTCCACAAGCCAATACACTATACCCAAGAGGATGTGATAAGGTGGCTTAGCCAGCTTTTTATACTAAATACTGGTCATTACACCTTACTTTCTATTCTAAGAGAAATGGCAACACCATAGTTTAAAGGAGGCAGAAGGTTCTCCAATTACCATTAAGAGTTGTACTTTTAGAATGGACCCTCTAAAAAACCATCAATCACATAAAAATAGCACTATTAATTGAGTCACCCAGCTAAGTGCCCACTTTCCATTATAGCATCTTACATTCTATATCACATTAGCTAAATTTGTAGCTATGCATGCCCTTCTTTCACTACCTTAAAAATGGGAAAGGCTGAAAAAAGTAACTAGTGTTTGTCCCTCACAGCAACACTCTTCCTTTTCTTTTGGTTGGGTTTGCTATGTTCTACACCCTTACCACTCAGTCTTGGCAGTGCAGATGAAAAACTGGGAACCATTTGTGTTGGGTCCAGCATTTGCCATGGACAAGATGCCAGGACCTGTATGCTTCAGAATGAAGTTCTCATCCTCAAATTTCTCCCCGTAGATAGACTTGCCACCAGTGCCATTATGGCGTGTGAAGTCACCACCCTGTGAACATATAGGAACTTGTCATTTTTGACAACATAACAAAAAAGCATGTCACATCAGCAAGGCTCAAACTTTAAAAACTAAGTGCAAACTGAGTAGAAGGGTTAAATGGAACCAAAATGGCAGAATAACTCAGATATGTGCATCGTGAAACATTCTGGCTCAATCCCAAATTATGGAAGTTATCCAAATAAAAATCCAATTTCATACCTGGCACATAAACCCTGGAATAATTCTGTGAAAGCAGGAACCCTTATAGCCAAATCCTCTCTCTCCAGTGCTCAGAGCACGAAAGTTTTCTGTTGAAAAGAAAATATATATGTACACATACACACTCTGTAACTATATATACATACACATACAAGCATATACATACAAACATACTGTTACATTGTTAGAAAATGGAACCAACCTGCTGTCTTTGGAACTTTGTCTGCAAATAGCTGGAAGAGAAAATGATAGTTAATTAACAACATCTGCTTACATATTTTGTTGCTTAGACCCACATCTGTATTGGCTTCTGAATCATAAATTCATTTTCTCACTAGAAGAGAATGCTTCTTCAATAATTACTTTGAATCCCAAATAAAAACTGCTCCTGACAGCCTTAAGGTCCAGGTTGCTTACAAGAGAACCAAAGATATGTCCAAAATACAGAACCAGTAATGACTTATAGTGAGAAACTTCTAAAAAGTGACTTAGAATTTTTTCTGTTATATATGCTGAACAGATATATGGCTTCTCAAATGTATATTACCACCCCCAACTTCAATTGGAACCTAAGGACAAAAGTCTAAGGAATACAAGTACTGCTGTATAACTAGGGATAAATAACTGTTGTTTTAGTCACTCATAATGAAAATGCTACTACCTCCAATCTGTTAACATAGCTTTATGGATTAGATGAGCAGTCACTTCTGGTTTCCAGGTCCCTTACCTAGTAGTGGGGTAAAAAATAAAGATTGGTTTCTAGTGCATCTGCTTTGAACCTTAAATACCACAGGAAAATGTTTACAAGCCCTTTCATAAAGACAGCTTGTTTAAAAGTAGCATTTTATAAAACATTCCAGAGACGTGACTAAATCAACTATTAACATCCCTGTACATTTTTTCAAGAACGTATTTTTTTTATTTTTGTACCTAAACATATGGTCTATTTTTAAACATTTGCTTTTCTCAAAGCTTTGTAGTCTGTATTTCTACAAGTGACTACTGCTTCCCTAAACAGACTGTCACTGAAGTTAAAGTCCTCTTTGGCAGTTCCACATCCATTCTCACCAAAGGATCTGTGGGTAAGTCCGGTCTCATTTTCATTAAGCTCACTGGCTAACCTGAGACTAACCTGCTGGCCAGCATCAGGCTCAGGCCAAGTTTCCACGAGGGCCCTTGTCAATTATCACCGGACTATAGATAAAAGTGGGGTGTAGACTGATTAGGATATAATTCTCCAAGTGCTTAGACGCCTACTATGTGCCAGGCACTGTGGACAAGTAGGCAACAAGAAAACCCCCTGTCCTCATGAAGACTGTAGGAGAGGAAAATCTATTTTTGGAATAGGATCCCTAACCATTACTGGCTTTTTGAGAAGTGGTTTCAGAGAATAACACCTTATTTCACTACACCCTAAGGTCTACCATGCTGAGTTAACTGGACTGGAATTGCATGTAATATTTAACTTTTTAAAAGAAACACCAAATTTAGATATTCTGTTGTAATTACTAATTCATTTTAAACTACTCGTTTAACACCCTCAAACCTAATTAGGTAATCATTGGTAATTCACCTTCGTTAGAAAAGGCCTGCCCTGTGGCCAGTCTCGACTTGCCTATTATGTAGTGCAGGGACAATTGGGAGGGGCTCAAGAGCGCCTCCCCAGCTGGTGCCGTCACTGCAGCGAAAGGCGGCCCTTGGGCACCAGCAAAAGCAATGCCCGTTTTCACATTTCCGCTTGGGGTTGGAGGACGTGGAAGGATGTTTGGGGCTTATTTCTAAATAAAATTTCCTATTTAACAAACTGGATGCGCATTCAAGTCACAATCAATCACATCCTCTTAACAACAAACCCTACATCTTCAGCACGGCATCCCAGGATTTACAGGCGATCTAAACTAACATAGATGGGCTAACACCGTGCCTAGGTCCTTGAGAAACACCCTCAGGCAGGTAGCGCCCCAGCTCTGGGTGCAAAGCACCTTGGTGCCTCCTGACACTTCTCGAGATGGAGCTTCCCGGGAGGGTGGATATAAACGCTCGCCAGTGCGCTTCTGGCTCGGGTCTGCAGTGCCCAGGACGAGCCAGGGCGGGGCCCAACGGCTCCCAGGACGCAGGCGGGAGCGCGGCCGCCGAGCACGTGCGCCGGGCAGGGCAGGGCGCGGCCACGTGTGTCCCGCGGGCGGGCGGGGGGTACGGGCCCCCTTCCCTAACGGCCGCGCGGCCGCCCCGCCCGCCTTTGTCCACAGCTGCCCCAGCCTCCCCCCAACGCTTCGCCGCCTCCCAAAATGGCCCCTCGTCAGGAAATGGCGCCGCCGTCCGCCCGCCCTCGCTCCTCAGGAAGGGTCGGCCAGCGCCCCAGCCCTCTGGGCGCCGCCGCCCGCCTCTCCCTCCGCCCGCTCCCTGGGCCCCACCCCGGCATGCCGCCGTCAGCCCGACCTCAAAGGAGACGCGGCCCAAGGGCTCGCCGTCGACGGCAATATCGAAGAACACGGTGGGGTTGACCATGGTTGGTAGCGGGCGACTCCGAGAAGCAGCAGCGTCTGCAAAGCGGCACGAGCCTACGCGCCCGCCCTTTTTATAGCAGGTTCTGGCCCCGCCCACAGCCCGGTCTCGCGCCTCAGTCCTGGCCAATCGCGACTGCAGGTTGACCAGAATGACGGTGCCTCTGGCTTATGGGCGGAGGCCAGCGCCGGGAGGGCGGCACGGCGAACACGCGTGCGCGCTGACGCGCGGAAGCAGGTTCCCGCCCGCGGGCTCCGTCGCGGTGGCTGCGGCGCGGGGCTCTGGGCGGGACCGCGGCGCGGATCGCAGAGCGAGGGGGATGGGTCGGTGCGGAACTGGGGAATGCGGGAGGACGTGCGCTAGCGCGCGCACGCGGGAGGGTGACTGGTACGCGGCGGCGCCTTAGTCCCTGCCCCGCGACGAGGCGTGTCTCCCCATTGCACAGAAGGGGCAACTGAGGTGAACGCAGGCCTCAAGGTCGCACTGCCGGTCAAGGTCGCTCAGGATCGAGCGCCCAGACCCTCCGGGGGCGGAAACGCAGACGGCGTTCCCGGGACCGAAGAGCAGCAGTGCCACCGCATCTTCCCCGGGCGACCTCCGCGCCGGCTCCGGCCAGGCCACGTCCAGGAGGCGAGCTTGCCTTTGAGTATCACAGTTTTCTCTAACCCGAGGATGGAATACACGCAGTCTCTCCATCTGTGAGAGGTTATGAAATGCTTTCAAAATGCCCTACTTTCCGAAAATATCTTGCACACGCTGCTCGAATTTTCCTAAGGAGTAAGCCTAAAACAGGAGCCTGACCAGGCTCTTAACCAGGGAAGACACATTGTGTACATTTTTTGCCGGGTTTTTTTTTTTTTGTTTTTTGTTTTTTTTTCCCTAAAATCTCTGCTGCCACCTCCCTACACAACGCACATACCTGCTTTCAGAGCAGAATTGAGTTCTGATCTCTGGGTGAAAGATAAGCCATAATTTAAAAGTGAATTCCTTCAGGCAAAGACATTAATACTTTCATTAAGGCCAGGTGCCTTGGCTGACGCCTGTAATCCTAGCACTCTGGGAGGCTGAGGCGGGAGGATCATTTGAGCTGAGGAGTTCGAGACCAGCCTAAGCAAGAGTGAGACCCCATCTCTACTAAAAATAGAAAGAAATTAATTGGCCAACTAAAAATATATAGAAAAAATTAGCCGGGCATGGTGGCACATGCCTGTAGTCCCAGCTACTCGGGAGGCTGAGGCAGGAGGATCGCTGGAGCCCAGGAGTTTGAGGGTGCTGTGAGCTAGGCTGATGCCAGGGCACTCACTCTAGTCCTGGCAACAGAGTGAGACTCTGTCTCAAAAAAAAAATACGTTCATTAAAATTCACTTATGTGACTCGTCTTTTGTTCAGAAAACCTTGAAAAGGGAATTTATATATCCTAGGCTGCCAGTTGCGATATTCAGGATGTTATTGAATGTCTCTAAAACTCATTTTCTTCTTCATCTGCAAAACCAGGATGGGGTTGGAGTGAAACAAAAATGAGGATTCATCTGATAGATGAAGTTCAGTGACTGGCCTCTTGCCATTGTTGATAACATCATGAGCCTACAAGTGCTAGCAATTTAAAGAATTTAAAGAGTGTTGTTTTGGTCTCATAACCACCCCATTTTACGGCTGTGGAAATTAGGGCTCCAGCTTCTTACTCCAAGTAATAGACTTATGAGTGTTAGCAGAATCAGAACTGAAAAATATATATTTTTTGTTCATTCCACATCACTCAATGCTTTGCAATCTTGAGGAAGGTACTTGTCCTCATCTGACACTGAAAAAAATTAACTAATGCCATCAGGTATAAATTATCTGAACTTCTCGCTCCTCTATCCTGAAACTTGGAGCAGTTAGAAACTTCTAAGAAGTAAATGAATGCATGAATGCATAATAAAATAAACACATCCTTGTGACTTGTCTTCCCTCTTGAAACTGTTTGAAGCCCTGCCTTCTTTTCACCATCAACATTGTCACAGCAAGGTCTTAGGTCTCTTTTCATCTACACAGGCATAGGGATTGAGTGTACACTCAAGAATACAAATATCCAGTGTTTCGTTTGTTAAGGAGAGAGCCAATGTTGTAAGGTATTGTTTTCTAGCATTATCTGTTGAACTGGACTTCCTAACTGTGAAATATCAGCAGACACAGAACCTCAGGAATGTAGGCCAGTCCATGCCTTATTTGGGTGAATCAGACCAAAAGCAAATCCAAATGAACTCAACAGTCTTCTGATCTGGCTAGCTGGAGGTATTCTATACCAGCAAGCAGAACTCTGTAACACAACTGTAGTTTTTGTTTGTATAGCATCTTATAAACAATTGCTTCTGTGTCTGAGCAAGAGATGTAACAGGGAAAAAAATCAGGGTATTCAAAAATGATAAAACAGACTACTTTGGAAGAGTGCAACTTGTCTCCTCTTGCCCAAGGCCTAGCTCAGTATTTCTGCTCTCAAGGCTGAATGGAAACTGCTCCTGCTGAGACCATGAGAGACCTTGCAACCCACAAACCCAGGTGCTGTTGCAGGCCTGACCGCTGCCCTGCATCAGGCATGTTTCCTCATCTTCTGCTTGGAAAGCTTCCTTTCCTTAATGGTTTTGACTTTCTGTCCCATTTCTTTTGTGTCTGACCATTTCCGCTTTAACTCTTTCACAGATTTCTCCTCTGCAGAGTTGCACATTTGATCTTGTTTTTTTCCCTTGCACACCCTCCAAGATCAAATTCATCCATTCCCATGGCTCAGATTCTCAGATAATTCTAAACCGAGCTCTCTACCCAAGCTCACTACAGGTAAAGTCTCCCTGCCTACTCCTTCCCAAAGATGAGACCCTCAAGACAGCACTTCTTGGCCCAGCACAGGTGGCTCATGCCTGTAATCCTAGCACTCTGGGAGGCCAAGGTGAGTGGATTGCTCAAGATCAGGAGTTCAAAACCAGCCTGAGCAAGAGTGAGACCCTGTCTCTACTATAAATAGAAAGAAAATTGGCCGGGCGCTGTGGCTCACGCCTGTAATCCTAGCTCTTGGGAGGCCGAGGCGGGCGGATTGCTCAAGGTCAGGAGTTCAAAACCAGCCTGAGCAAGAGCGAGACCCCGTCTCTACTATAAATAGAAAGAAATTAATTGGCCAACTGATATATATATAAAAAATTAGCCGGGCATGGTGGCACATGCCTGTAGTCCCAGCTACGTGGGAGGCTGAGGCAGGAGGATTGCTTGAGCCCAGGAGTTTGAGGTTGCTGTGAGCCAGGCTGACGCCACGGCACTCACTCTAGCCTGGATAACAAAGCGAGACTCTGTCTCAAAAAAAAAAAAAAATAGAAAGAAAATTAATTGGCCAACTAATATATAGAGAAAAAATTAGCCGGGCATGGTGGTGCATGCCTGTAGTCCCAGCTACTTGGGAGACTGAGGCAGTAGGATTGCTTGAGCCCAGGAGTTTGAGGTTGCTGTGAGCTAGGCTGATGCCATGCACTCTAGCCCAGGCAACAAAATGAGACTCTGTCTCAAAAAAAAAAGACAGCACTTCTCCTTGTCCTCCCTTTCCCTAGGCACTTTTCCCCTAGGCCTCCTCTCTCTCTCAGGCCTCCTCTCCTCCCCTTTTCTCCCCTCTTCTCCTCCTCTCCTTCCTCCCTCTCCCCCCAGGCCTTCTCTCAATCCTGGGCCTCCACCACCACCACCAAGCCCCTCCCCCCTTGCCACTGCTTGGTCTTTCATAGCAGCCTCCTAACCTGTTACTCAGCCCCGGTTTCTTCTGGTGCTTGAGACTGGTCGTTTTCAAAACCATCTGATTTTGTAACTCTAAGCTAAGCATGGGAGGGGGCTCCTGGTCACCCACAGAATAGAATCTAAGCCACCCCTTCGCAGTTTGGTCCCAACTTGCTTGTCCAGTCTTATGGGCTGAACTTTCATGGGCTACGCTGAATTTCTCATCCTTCCCTCGACACCCCACCACCACTCCTGGCTTTTCATGGTTCATGCCTCTGTCTATGCGGTGCCTTCCCTGAAGTGTCATACCGCCTCCACCAGGCAAAGCCCACCTCTGTAGGCCCCTCTGGGAAGCCTCCCTTAGCTCTCCCAGAGCTGGTCTGCCACAGCACCTGTTTCATCTGTGTGTACTGATCCCTGTACCCTGCCGACACCAGAATCCAGTAAGAGCTTGTTAAATGAATGAATGAGTGAACATATGAATGAGATTAATAGCCCCACGTGTGAGTGATGAAAGGGCCCTGGAGTGTGTCTCCTCCGTGAGGCATGGGAATTAATTCACACACACCGCCTGCCTCTGAAGCCCGTCCTGGCTTCCATAGTCCTCCCACCTCTTGGCAGTCACCCCATGCATGGAAACATCCTAGCCCCGCCATCACACACACCTCTGCTGATAGGGTCAGCATCCTCACTTCCTTCTCAATGGATCCTTCCCCTCTTCTGGCCAAAATTTCGTCCT